CCACCACAGGGTGCATAGGAAAGCTGCCTCCATCCTCAAGAACCCCACCCACCCCCAGCACTGACTGTTCACCTCCCTACCCTTTGGCCGGAGGTTCAGAAGTGTGAAATGCAGGACCTCCAGAGTGAAAAACTCTTTCTTTCCCTCTGCCATCAGAATCCTAAACAGCTGACAGGAATTTATTACCAGGAAATACGCCATGTACTGACGACCTGTACTGTTTACATTCTCAGTTTGCTCATGCATAATTGCACATTCACTGTTGACTGCTGCACATGATGCTCCCATGCAGCATACATTCTCTTATTATATTCTTATATATTTTTATTATATTGCTGCTTAAAGTGCCTTAGATTTTGTTTTACTTATTTATCTACTTTATATTTCACTTGTATTTTTGTGGCATTCATGTGGACGGCAAAGTAAGAATTTCATTGTACAAGGAGACATGTTTCCTAACTGTGCATATGACAAATAAACACTTTGACTTGACTGATTTTTGGCCAGGTGTCAGGAGGGAATATCTGGCACTACATAAAAATACTAATGCAATCAAATCAATTTTGTTGCTAATCTTTGGCATATCCAAGACTCTAATCACCACTGAAATCCCATCCTTCTACTATTTATTATATGGAAAATAATTCGTTTTTTGTGTATTTTAGAAATACATATTTCATAATTCAAATTAATAACTGGCATTTAAAGGGTTAAAAAATCCTGAGAATGATTGAATGTTTGGTAGTTTTGAGCAAGTGTGAAGTTGCTTAAGAGATTTATGGAAAAAAAGTAGAAAAAACTATTGAAGCATGATGATTTAATAACTTTTGTACGTGTACATTTTTGGCCACGAGGGTGTCAGAACGTTACAAAATGCATAAAAAGAGTATAAATGCTATTTAAAAATAAATAACACTGGATTTCAAAAATATTACTAAAAAGAAACTTTCCTGCCAAATTTCATGCCACAAGAGCTGTAACACAGCCAAAATAATCGCCAAATCAAAACAAATTGACAAAAATTGACCTTTTTGCCCGAGGAGGGTAGAAGGATTCAGTATGGTCATACCAAAAGACCAACAAAGGGGCAGAGAGAGACAAAATGGGATGGAGCAAAACATTGTCAGAGAGATTTTGGGAAGGGTGGCTGAGTGACTGTGTGTCCATATATATGTGTGTAAGTGAGTGGAGAGGTACACCACTTGTACACATGTTATCTCTCTATGTACTTTAAGAGCATTACCACTCTAGGCAACATCCTGAAGCGGGCCATTCTCCACCCCCTCCTATTTTGCAGACCAACATATGGACTCCAGTGGTTTGAAGAGAAGGCAGAAGGGAAAGCAATTTTTCAGAGGAGAGATAAATGGTGGGAGGGAAGACTGCTGCTGGTTTCCTGGACTGGGTTGCATGCGCTAGCAAACCCCCTTTTACAGTGTGCGTACTATCTGTCCTCACAAGGAACAGTGGGAGTACAAACAGGGCTGAAGAAGACTTCTGAATGCAACAGCACAAAGGAGGACAAGCCATAAGAAAGGAAGAAAGGACCAGCCTCTCTCCCTCCACTCTCTTTTCCCTGACATGGGCTGCCTGGTGGCCCTACCTCTCGCCTACCTGGCCCACTTGCTGGCCACCACAATTGCCTCAGAGCGCCAAATGCATCGCATGCAGTATGGCCCCTGCAGCTACACCTTCATCCTCCCTGAGATGGAGCATTGCCATCCCCTAAAAGATTTCCAGGTCACCAACGCTCTCCAGCGGGACTCACCATCTGAGGCAGAGCATGTCTCAAGCCAGTTCAAGCAGGGTAAGGCCCAAAAGGAGAGGCCTTCTTGGCAGGAGAAGAAGCTGGTGCGGCTGGAGAGTGCTATGGAGAATAACACCCAGTGGCTGCAGAAGGTAAATTGTTTACTAAAACAATTAATTTCTTCTTTGTCATCTTTTCGTTCTTTCTCTACCTGTTCACTGTCACACTATCTTCTTCTGATCTTTTCACATCGCTTTTAAGCCTGCAGAATGCTGTGGGGGTGTGTGGGGGCAGGCATTATTCAATAACATCTTTTGTTATCATTCATTATTGTTATGGTCAGTGCTTAGTTGAGATTTCCTGGATGCTTGCTACTGTATATGCTAATCTGGCTCCACGACAACTGGTCAGTTAGTGTGAGTCTGTAATTTAAGACCAATGGGACGCCCGAAAATCCCTGTTTGCGTGCAAGAGGAGAAAGACAAGATGAACTATGTCTGCTAATATCAGACATAGTTCCATTTTCCAGAATATCACCAATAGGCAACAAGTTCACAGAAACTTGTAGCTAATATGTAAAGTGAGTCGGTGAAGACAATGTACCAAACTCAGCTTGCATGTGTCTTCTGTGAAAAATATTTAGTTTAACATGACTCCTCACTGAGCTGCTGGCCTTTGCAGTTCAATTTAGTCTGGGTTTTACAGACTAAAATGAAATGGTGTGATTAAAAGTGGCTTCACAATAGTGTTTTCATTGCTTAGGTCATCAGGGTGCAGAATCAGTGTTGGGCCATTGTCTAGGGCAGAATGACTGACATGCCACCCCTCTCCACCCGTTTCCCTATTCTTGTTTGCATCTGTTTTAGAATATTTAAGGTACACAGTAATTGTTGGCTCGATTTAAGTGCTCTGTTCAGTGATTAGAGGGGCCAAATGAAGGCTAACTACTTCCCTTGTGCACACTAACTGATGATCAGTCTATGAACTACAGATCTAGGTTCTACGGGAAGCATCCCATGAGGCCACAATGTGTGTGTTTTAAAAACAGGAAGAGACAAGAGACAATGAGAGACTGCACACACTTTTCATCATGCGCACATTCATGCACACAGTCCACAAAGTCTCGGCTAACTGTATGTCAGACAAATTTTAAAAATCACATATTGCGTGTGCCCAATATTGTGCATTGGGCGCATTCACTGCAGCATGTAGTCTGTCTCTCTTGCTGTCATGAAGGAGATGCAGTTTAAATCCCAAAATATACAATTTCATTTCTGCTGACACATAACTCTGTTGCCAGCCTTGCCACACAATATCTAGATTGAAGACAATGACACAATTTATCCTCCACCAGGCCGTAGTGATGCATACATGATTGCAGATAGCATGACCCTAGAGAGCCCCTTTTAAATATGCATGAGGGTATGCTGACCTCTGACTCCAGATGACAAATCTTTTCAGCATCTTGTGGAGTTTATTAATTCAATCCTCATAATTGTGGGGTTAAATTGGTGACATGTATATGGAAGAGTGTTAGGCATGTGGGTTGGTGAGTCTGTGAAAGTTTGTACAATCTCACTCAAAGTCGCCCTCACCCCATATGTTATGTTGCTTACTGTCCTTCCACCCAACCCCTTTGAGAACACACACACACACAGAAGTGAATTTATTAATCCACCATGTTCCACAGAGGAATCTATAGTAACAACAGGACTGCATTAAGTGTTCCAGAGTCCGTCTTTGGTGTTTCCATGAAGAACTAGTGTTTGTTCTCTTTGCACTAACCCAAAACCCCATTTAGTCCAATGCTGCCCTAAGGGATGGGATATGAGTGTGCTTTTGCTAGTACTACTTTTAAGAGCCTGTGCAGATTATGCCAATACATAAGTATTGCCCAGAGATCAAGATGGCTTGGTTACCCTTGGTGACTTGATTTCCTAGCCAAGTAATAGTTTATTAGGCCATTACTAAAATATGTCACTCAGATTACTCTTTACATGCTATCCAATTAGTCTCCATTTTCTTTCCTTAAAAAATGTGCCCCTTTCATCCATTGTTTAAAATGACAGTTGACTATTGTCCTCATTAGAACAAAACATATTTTAAGTGCCACTAGTGGTCCTGTGGTATGCACACAAAATGTTTGTTTGGCCACTCATTTGCTATAGAAAAATTTTTGGAATTTAGGCATCACACTGTGCTGAAGCTGGGGTAAATGTGCCATGTTTAGAGCATCACACTCATTAGCATTCAGAGATACAGTAAGGTATCATATTTGTCAGCAGACATGGAACTTAAATGCTTCTCCTATTCTCTTTAATTGTAACTAAGAACAAATGTGCCAATTGGCTCAACAATTAACATAACGACATCTCCTATGATTTTCTCAGCACTGATCCTTCTCTGTCCCTTTTAGGCACAATAAGACAGAATTATGTTACAGATTTATTAACTGGCTGCATAGTGCAGTGTGTAACAGAGCTGCAGGTAATACAATTCAAAGTGGGAGATGGTCTGTATTAAGAGCTTGAGAGTGGCCTATATCACAAAAGACTATATAAACTGTGATTTCTGTATACAAGGGTATTTATGATGCAGGGACCTTAGATTCACTTAATCTAATTTGTTTCTGCTGTCTCAGTTGTCCTAAAGTAACTAATTACATGAGGAAGGAACAGGAAGAGTTTGAAACAAAGAAGGAGTTAGTGAGAGAGATCGAAAGGAAGTAAGAGACAAAGAGTGAAAGATTACTAGCAGACAAAGAATTTAATTGCAGATTCATCTCTATTTGCCCACTGGGAATTTTTTATTTATTTATTTTTTTGTATAAAAAAGAAAAACCCCTCTGTATGGCAATGCATTATCATAATCTCTTTCCTCCCTGAGATGGGCATTTGTACTAGAAATAACAGAGTTGTTTGAATTCTCTTCAGTTTTTGTGGATAACCACTGGATAATTTTGAATACTTTCTACTTCATTTTGCAGTTATGTGGTTTAACAAATATCCCCAAGAAAAGCTATAAATCCCCAAGCAAAGTACTAGATATTAATGTTCACCAGCTCAATACTCTACTTTGCTTTATTGCAATGACAAATGCCATTGCTTGTTAAACATCAAACAATATTCCGTTGTTGATGGCAGAAAAAGCCAAATTTGTCTTTCAGATGCCATTTGCTAAAACTGACCACATTAAAAAGAAAATCTATTTATTGAAAGCAAGATGGGCGCCATCCAATTTTTACACCGGCTGTAATGTATGATGGGTGTTTGCCAGTGCTTCTTTATGTGAGCTCATGATTGATTACAGAGTACAGGTGACTATGCCTGGCATCCAGCATATAAATACCATGGTATCAAACTCC